CAGTATCATATTATATTTTGTGATTCCTTTCCCAAAAATAACAAAATAACATCATTTCACGGTGCATTGTGAATTTTAGCAGCTTAATAGTAGGGGTTAAAGTATGAAATTGCCGTTTTATTTTAATAGCTACTTCGAATTGACATAGAACCTTCATGGTTTGAGATTTTTAAGTGAAACTTTTTTCGAACGGTACCTATGAGGTTCTTCTTTTAAAAAATGTGCAACATTCGATTACCGATTTTCAGTTGTTTTTTTTTATTCAGTTTAGGCAAGAAAGATGGTTAATACTTCGAAAATTCGAGTGATTTTTGAATACGAGTTTCGACGCGGAACTAAAGCTGCAGAAACAGCTCGCAATATCAATGTTGCGTTTGGAGAGGGGACTGCTAATTAAAGCACCGTGTGATTTTGGTTTAAACGCTTTCGTGATAGAAATTTTAATTTGAAGAACGAACCACGTGGAAAGCCGCCCACACATGTGAATAACAATGAATTGAAAGTGATGGTGGAAGCCGATCCGAGTCAGACTACCCAGGAATTAGCGGCAAACTTAATAGGTTGAACATGATCTTTGAATTTTTGTTATCGATAGACTCTATAGCTATGGCATAGACCCATTGCTACTGTTAAATTGGAAAAATTATTCTGGCAACATTTTTCGACAACTGTCAAAAAGGCCAAAATAAAAATGGTGTCTTGGAGTGCTCTCGGTCGATCTTTCGGCATAAATTTGGTAAAAAATTCTTTAAAGTCGCCTAATAAAATACAGAATGTGACTTTCACCACCGCGAAAACCTTAAAAGGCAGTCATGGAGAAAGAACAATGGCACTGCAGCCATCCAGGTACTGTGATGTTTCTAGTGATTATCTAATCGCTTTTGATTTTAATAGAATAATAATTTATATTTTTTATACAAAACATAACAAAAAAATTAGTTTATCATTAAAAAGCCATTTTTCTGTCAGAATAATGCATTTTATTGAATTATATTGTTAACATGTAACCTAATTTTAATTTCCTGATCACAGATGGCAATGGCACAAATTTAAGGATATGCTGCACTTTTACATGATGGTTGGACTGATACCGGCCGGTGCCCTTATATTCTACTGTAACGTATTCATTGGGCCGGCGCAATTGACACCTATCCCTGAAGGATATACGCCCAAATACTGGGAGTACCACCGCCATCCAATCACCAGATTTATTGCTCGCTATATTCACAACAATCCACAACAGGTTTGTCAAACTTTTGATTTGAGTTTTTAAAATAAGATTCTCATTAAAACAGGAATGTTTGTAAGTAGATAAATAGAGATATCTGAATATGTGACTAATATTTTAGACAAACCTAAAATCAGTAGTATTAACTAATAAAAATATTATTCTTACTATTTTACAAAGATATTTGTGTAAAAAAGGTTCTTGTAGAAGTTAAACTAAATGGTTATTGTTTATAAATTTAATTAGGAATACTAGAGTACTATTATTAAACTAACTATTGAATTATTTCTTGCTATTCATCATTATGTGTGGATTCTTTTTCTCAAAGATTTTCCATCTTTAGTATATTTCTTAGTTTCACAAAACAAGAGAAAGCAGTTTCTGGAAATGCTGAATAGAAATAGATAGTGTCAGAGATTGAAGCCCAATTTGCTATTTACGTTCGTATCTTATGGTATGGTATCCTATGTATGGTATCTTATCTATCTAATGGTATCTTCAAATTGAAGCTTATGATTTTTTTATTGTCTGTCTTCTAGTATTTGACATTGTCATTAGGAAGTTAGGTAAGAAAACAAGTGAAGATGCAACAATTAAAGATGGAGATGAAGTAGCTCAATAAAGCCAAAGAGATACTTTTTGATTAATGCCCAATAGATAAAATATCATCATTTATGTAACAGCTATAAATTGGGATAGCCTCTCAGGCAACCAATGATTAGGGTTATGGAAAAAAAATGCAATTAGAAAAGGATTAGTAGTTATATGTGATGTAAAAATGTATTACAGCTGCACATAGAACAGTGAAGTCGTCGTGGCCTAATGGATAAGACGTCCGGTGCATTCGTGTCGAGCGATGCACCGGTGTTCGAATCCCCCAGGTGGGTACCAATTTTTCTAATGAAATACGTACTTCACAAATGTTCACGATTGACTTCCACGGTGAAGGAATAACATCGTGTAATAAAAATCAAACCCGCAAAATTATAATTTGCGTAATTACTGGTGGTAGGACCTCTTGTGAGTCCGCATATGTAGGTACCACCGCCCCGCCTATTTCTGCCGTGAAGCAGTAATGCGTTTCGGTTTGAAGGGTGGGGCAGCCTTTGTGACTATACTGAGACCTTAAAACTATATCTCAAGGTATGTGGCGCATTTACGTTGTAGATGTCTATGGACTCCAGTAACCACTTAACACCAGGTGGGCTGTAAACTCGTCCACACATCTAAGCAATAAAAAAAAAAAAAAAAAATATGTTTATGACAAAGTCAGTTATTTTAAAATTTTACAAATGCAATTGTGGACATTGATTTCAATTTACCTAACTACCTATCTTCTCTTTTCAGGATTATGAGAAATTTATGCATTTCCTTGATGAAGAACAACAGAGAATAAAACTGCGTGCATTAGAAAAAGAAATTATCAAAAAAATGGCTGAGCGCCAGGACTACCAAGCCTATTACTATAAACCGATGGTCAACAAATACTTACGTATGAATAAGAGAACCGGTGATGAATTGTATAACCGTATTGGTGATGACTACAAGGATTAAACTGATAGATTTATGTGGTGATTAATGTATTTAGTAATCAAGTGAATTGTTACATATTGCAATGTAGATAAATAAAGTTGAATTGTTAGTACTTCTCTTCTTTTTGTGAATGCAACCTATAGATACATCGGGGCTGTGTAATTCAATACCTTTGTCTTTTTTCGATGTTTGGTTTACCTTTGATTTGTATGATTATAAATAGTGTATTTTTACTTAATAGCTATATTTGCAATGAAATAAAAGATAAAATGTATGGTAACATTATTTAATTTTACAGGAAAACACTAACGATTGACAATTATAAATTCCTTCTTTTGGAACTCTTAATAAATAAATGACAACACTTATCTAGCATATGCTATCGCAACCTGATATGCTTTTATACCAACTAGAAGAAATTTCAGTAACGAGATTGTGGGGTATAAGAGTATTTGAGTCTTCTATTATCAAAGGTGGCAATCTGTGCATTTGGATAAAAAAATGTTATTGATATGTCAATACAGATCGATTTGAATACAATCGTCTCCTTCAAAGAATACGGTTCAAAACCTGCATTTAATAAAGGTTAATACTTAACCTGTTATTTATCTAAGATGTCGTTCAGAAGAGTTTTGTGACTGCCAATGGAATACAAAGTCAATAATTCGTTTTTCTGATTTACCAATAATTGTCCAAAAGTCACATTGCCGGCTTTGATAATAGTCGACTCATTTATTACTAGCGAAATTGCTTTTTGTAAGAGGTTTGCATTAATATGTAGGCACAGTATTGGTAAATTTTGGCGAAATTTAGATATATTTAGGGGAACACTTGCTCTGCATTGAATATTGTTCAATCATTCATATTGACATATTATATCGATGGGTGAAACACTATTTGGTTTAAACGATATTTTGCTTAATACGCGACATTTATCTTTGTAATTGAAGTTTTTTTTTATTGCTTAGATGTTGTTTGGTATGTTATGGTATTTTTTCAAAAATTTACATTAAATGGTTCTGCTCTATAGCTCCAAAAATGTCGCTTAAACCGAATACCCTTTCAACCGTCGATATTTTAATTTTTACACCGAAACCCAGATTAAGCCGTAAAAGTAGTCTAAGTAGCCTATGATTCGCGAAAACTGAAGAAAATACTATAAGTAATAGTTATTGTACAATATATTATGTTGTAGGTATAACGACGAAGGGAAGATCTTCCACCGACCGGGTGATATTGCTTGTTAGACCAACGGTTCTAATGTTGTTCAGAACTTGTTTAAATGCTTTTTTTATTTATTGCTTAGGTGGGTGGACGAGCTCAAGGCCCACTTGGTGTTAAGCGGTTACCGGAGCCCATAGACATCTACAACGTAAATGCCGCCACCTACCTTGAGATAAAATTCTAAGGTCTCAGTATAGTTACAGTATAGTTACACAAGAGGTCCTACCACGAGTAAAGCTTATCTTGAAAATGTCGTAAGCGAGATTCAGGCATTTGTCAAATATCTTGTGTTGTATGATGGCTACCGTGTACTGGTGGTAGGACCTCTTGGGAGTCCGCACGGGTAGGTACCACCACCCCGCCTATTTCCGCCGTGAAGCAGTAATGCGTTTCGGTTCGAAGGTTGGGGTAGCCGTTGTAACTATACTGAGACCTTAGAACTTATATCTCAAGGTGGGTGGCGCATTTACGTTGTAGATGTCTATGGGCTCCAGTAACCACTTAACACCAGGTGGGCTGTGAGCTCGTCCACCCATCTAAGCAATAAAAAATAAATAAAAAAAAAACCGTCACAAAGGTATTGCATTCTTAATGGTTTTTAAAAATACTGCCACGTTTATTTTCTACAGTTTCTAGCTGATAACATCTAATCGTTACTATGACAATGAAGGTATTTTAGGCTGAAATTGTAAAAAATGAAATGGGAGAATCAATAAAAAAAATTCAAATAACAAGTAGGCAAGTGTAAAAGAGCGTAGGATTAAACGTATTTTCTCAGAAAAAATTACTTCATGAAAACAAAAATAAATAAGGTGTTTTGGTAAGGTCAATTTTCCTTCGTATTTAATTGTGAATTTCACTTTAAAACTAAAAAATAAATGTCTGTAATACACTATTTAAAACTAAACAAAAAGAGAATAATCATCACTGATAATAAATCGGATATTACTATCTAAGACGGAGTATATCGTCCTCTAGTATTGTTGTGTGATATCATCCATTTTTTCGTGATCTACACAGGAAATTATTTAGCTTATCGCCAACCATCCTTTGGTGTTATACAAAAAGAAATCCAAAGAAATCATACGCGATGGGACGTTATAGACTTTGTATAAATGACTTCAAAAAAGGAAGGTATTGTGTATGTATTTTTTATTTATATTCACCGATTTCTCCGTAATTTGTGGACCAATTTTAAAAATTCACACTTTTTAGAATTTGTGGTCGTTGAAACAGCACGCGATTACCACCCACATGGTGGTTTTTTGTAGACCTATCTCTTTTTTGTAGATTACTGCTTTAGTTAAAATTGGTTAAACTAAATCATGAAAATAATGCGGAAATGCACAAAGCCCTTATATTTACTGTTACACAATTAAATTACAAAACGATATGATTTTCCCATTGTTTCAGTCTTCGCAGTTTGTAGAGTTCCAATTAGTATGATCCAACAACTATGTACCTTAAATTGCTTTTCATTATCATTTGACTTTTAAGATTATGTACATTTTTGGTTAACAACTTCTATTTATCAAACAAATGTAACCAAGAATCGGTACAGCACTATTTCCTGGGCTGAAAATAAGTCAAATATAAATAATAATCCTAAATACGTACTTATCTATGGACTACTTAGATTATTAAATCTCTATTTTTAAAATTTTACGATTCATCAATAACAATTTCAATCTAATATTAATAAGACGGCTACGAGTTTCTACGTTGTAATTTTAGTTTTGCTATTTTTTACTATTTGCTTTTCTCTTTTTCTGCTTGCGCTGCTAGTTTTGCTTCTTTTTTAGCTTTCTTCTTTTCTTCTTTAGCTAGCAGTTTGGCTTGTCTTTCCTCTTCTTTTGCTAATAATTTTGCTTGTCGCTCCTCTTCTTTAGCTTGAAGTTTAGCTTCTTTTTTGGCTTCCTTTTCAGCTTTGAGTCTTAGTTTCTCTTCCTTCTTTCGTTCCGCTATTTCGTTTTTTCTATTATCAGTTGTTTCATCTTTCTTGTATTTGTCGTCGTCTTTTTTCTTCTTGTCTTCTTTTTTTGGTTTCGACTTGGGGTTATCTTTCTTTTTATCAGTCTCTTTACTAGGGTCTCTGGATCCGGGCGTGTCTTCCTTGTTTGGTGTTCTAAAAGGTCGGAAGAAATGTTGTTTGTCTTGTTTTGGTGAGGTTTCAAGTTGCGTAACTATTTTCTGGGCGCATCTATAAGCAAAAATGGGATTAGTTATTAATTTATTTAAGCTTTTGCCTTATTTTATTTTGAATGGTTATTAGAGAGCCTGTAAACAACGTCAAAGCTACCCACTTGGAGAAATATGCGTGCCCGTTGTTTATCTTAACGCGTTGCTGTTTCACGGGATGGAAGGAAGTAGGCAGATTTGTGGTGGTGTGGTACCTTGGTTTACAATATGCGACTTATATGTTACCTATGTTCCGGTAATTATGAAAACATTTATTTTTGTCCGCTTTCTTTTTATTACACAATATTGTTTTATAGAGGACATTTTTCGTGAACATATGCTCGGGACGTGCTTATTAAAAATCTTACATATCTGCAGCATTTAATCCGTGGCATAATTGCATCACTGTATGAATGTACCGGACGTTGTAACTATTAACTGACAATGACGCTTTGAGTTTAACATTGTTAGAAACTATTGCATTAGGAATTTTACATGATTGAGAAAAAATCTCATAAACGCTGTAGCAAGAACTTCTAATAGTTAACCTTTGACGTTAAAGAGTTAGACGCTGACATAGGCTCTCAAGGCTACCAGCCTAGGTAGGAAATTAAAAAAATTAAAGAGTTAGTTTAGGTACTAAAATACCTTATTCTAGTTGAAGTAGACGCGATAGCAGTTGTACTTTCGCGTCTACCCTCTCTAAATTCCCTCTGGAATTCCCGGATGGGGGGAAGGCGACCTGAAGGCTCGCCTGCTGGTCCTCCCGTGTAGCTGTGCATCTGGTATTCCTGTAATCGAACCTGGAAATATTTAATCGACTATTAGAAAATTATACCTAATAAAAGCCGTCACTGCTATTCAACGGGCCGATCGCTCGCAAACAAGCCAATAAAAAAAACTCGTAAACATAACATGAAAACCAGAGTCGTTCGCTTAGAATGAATGTTTTTAGTTCCGAAATTTTAATTAGAGTTTAAAATTAATTTCATTGTTTTTATCTCTCTAGAATCTGTAGTCTAGATAGACAAACGAACTCATTGCTCATCTAGTAAAAAGTGGGTGAAGCTTCAAACAGAAATCTTGGACGATTACGCGGTAGAAACAGATAGGATCGTGGTACGTATCCGGGTCGTTTACCACGTAAAGCAGGAAAGATTTTAAGAAAATTCTAGATTTAAAATCCAATTGACCATTTTTTTTTTCTTAGGTTTTATTCACGGAGAATTTCCGTGACTAAAATACAAATTTAGAGACCTTCATGCTGTGATGCTGCGAGCGCCGTAACGAGTTAGAGGCTGGTTGTCTGGGTCGCGGTGGCGTTGGGGCCTGCGCCCTCGGGACCGCCCCAAGACAAGCTCCTCCGCATTTTGCTCCGCCACATAGTTTTGTTGTGCAGTCAGTGGGCACGTTGCCGCTGTTCGACGACACGGAAGACACTCCTGAAAAAAAGTTTTATTTTTGAATTGAATGATATTTTTGGTATAATCTTTAGTGTAAGCGAAATTTATGATCTTTCAGAAGGTAGGTAATTTTTCACAAGGTAGGTAGGGAAGAAGGTTTCTTGATATATGATCTCAATGAACCGATAATTAAAATTTGAAACGAAACTGTTTTTATTTTATTTAAAGTGATTATTGAATTTATTGAAGTGATTTATTTTTCATACATTTGTCAGGGATCCAAAACAAGAAAAAACAGAGTACTTTAAAAAAATAGCTATAAAATTTATTCGTCACATTAATGTGAAGCCACATATTAAAGCTAAATTAAATCGAAATTTGTAGCATTTCTTCAGGTCAACTTAAACAAAAATATTAAAGTGATATTTCAGACGTGCCTAATCGATGTGCATTAGTGTATTTGTATGATTTATGGTTAGCACAGTAAAATAAAATTTGCGCTAACAAAATATTCAAAAACAGTAGTATAAGCCCTATTAAAAAACAGCGGACGTGCGGGGTCAACGTTCTCCTGTCACGCGGTTAAGGCGTCCGCCAACTCCCTTTGCTTTTGATTACGGGCCTGAACGATGAAAATGTAAATTGTAAGGTCCACAAACAATTACCTCTTCCCGATGAAATTAAGTTTTATTTTATTTTATTTTTATTGCTTAGATGGGCGGACGAGCTCACAGCCCACCTGATGTTAAGTGGTTACTGGAGCCTATAGACATCTACAACGTAAATGCGCCAACCACCTTGAGATATAAGTTCTAAGGTCTCAGTATAGTTACAACGGCTGCCCCACCCTTCAAACCGAAACGCATTACTGCTTCACGGCAGAAATAGGCGGGGTGGAGGTACCTACCCGTGCGGACTCACAAGAGGTCGGAATACCAGTAATTACGCAAATTATAATTTTGCAGGTTTGATTTTTATTATACGATGTTATTCCTTCACCGTGGAAGTCAATCGTGAACATTTGTTAAGTACGTATTTCATTAGAAAAATTGGTACCCGCCTGAGATTCGAACACCGGTGCAGCTGTGCATCGCTCAACACGAATGCACCGGACGTCTTATCCTTTAGGCCACGACGACTTCAAAAGAATATTCCCTTTTTTCGCTTCGCCAATGGTCACTATGTGTGTACTACGTTTTTAATGCAAATAAATACAATTTGACCAAGCAAACTCTTTTTGTTTATTTTGCTTAAGTTAAACAGCAAGAGATTCCTTTTTTCGCGCGTTGAGCGTTAAGAGGATGACTCTTGTGGAGTTCTGAAGTATAGTTCGGCCGAGTGAGAGGGTTAAAAGCCCTTATTTGGTCTCTCGACGAGCTCTCTTCGACTCCCTAAGCACAGGTCAAGTTTTTACAGTAATACTGCAACGTTTTCTCTGCTTCTGTAACGCGATCTGTGTTCAAAAATTGTTAGTGAATTTTACTTTCAAGTAATAAAAAAAAGAGGTACCTCAAGATACTTGTGTCTGCCGGTTTGAAGGGTGGATTGTTATTATTCAAAAGAATTTACATTTGGATTTTATGTCTTAAGGTGACGGTATTTACGTGATGATTTGTATGGCCTCTGTTAACTATTAAACACCAGATAGACCTCAAAATCGTCGGACCATATTTTATTTTATTTTATTATCGTTGTATTGTAAACGTCAGCAATGCTAGGAAGCCGTGCTGCTGCCTACCTTTGTCGTGTATAGAATAAATGAGAAGATGAGATATACTTTTTTATTATAGATAACTTTTTTCTGAAATACCTACTGGTAACGGTGGTTAAAGTTTAATTATATATTAGAGACGTACCAGAAAGGGAAGATTCTCCACTGGTCACAGAGTAGAAGGAAGCTGACGCTGGCACTGATCTGGCACCGACAGAGTAGCTGGAAACTGAGCCCGGCACTCCCCAAGACTTGCCGCTGCTACTCGACACCTGTAATAGAAAAGTATTAAATAGAAAAAAGGGCAGTTTTTTAATGGTCCCTTAATGAAACCTTTCGTCGCAAACGACGGGTTGGACGGGAACGGTGGTCGGTGCATGAGATTATTCATAACAATGCAAATATGCTAAAATTAAAACCCAGGAACAAATAACAATTAACTTAACCAAATCCATAGACAACAAACAAACAAAAAAGAAAATAAGTAGTGTGTTGCTTTATTGTTTATTTTGCAAGCTTTATTGTGACTCTAAAGTGTTATATGAATGTTTTTCCAATATAGCGATATAGAGATTACGTCCCAGATAAACAAAGGCGCTCAATGCCGAACCTTAAAATTTAAACAAGGTAAAAGTTTGGTTTTCTCACCTGCCAACTCTTGCTAGTAACTAGTCTAGGCGTCTGCCGGAGCCTGAGGATTTTGGCGCGACATATGACGCATCTTAGAGGCAGCAAACGTTGACTTACGGCCATCTGTATTGTTTTGACAAAACACCGGCGGCACACAACGCGGTGTCCGCACGGTGAGGTTTGCATAGTCGCTTTCGCGTTCACACATATCACGCACTGGAATGTAAACAATATTTTTTGAAGTTGATTAGGTGGTCGAATGAACTTCCCTCCACAGTGTTTTCCGAGGCGCTATGACATGTCCTTCTTCAAACGAGGCTTGCGGAGAGTACTTAATGGTAGGCAGCGGCTTGGCTCTGCCCCTGGCATTGCTGACGTCCATGAACGACGGTGACCACTTACCATGAGGTGGGCCGTATGCTCGTCTGCCTACAAAGGCAATAAAAAAAAGGTGTAAAACCAAACACCAAAAAAAGTTGTTATCGGATTTTTCTCTTTCGGATTTCGGATAAATGTTATCGTGTAGAGACAGGAGATTGGTATTAGTAAGTAAGAAATTAGATGAGGATACGGTGTGCTCAGTGCGAGTTTTGTAACGTTCTCTATAGCGTAAAAGTTTACTCAAATTAGTATGCAATTGGAACAGCGCCCCTAGCAGCAATCCTAAGCATATGTTCCAACTCTATACAAAAATGAGTTAACTTTTACGCTATCGAGAACGTTAAAAAGCTTGCACTAAGCACACTGTTCTAAGGTAAGATAGACGCTCAAGATGGGTTGGCTGTGTCCGATTCTTTTGATTAATATACTAACACTACACTCCATGTGGCTTGCCGTTCTATTTGCATTGATGGTATCTACGATCCACCACTACTAGGCCACTGAGCATACCGTGAATTGGTATGCCGTTGGGTGTTTCTTCGTAAGTAATAACAAATGGGGCCGGTTTTGTGTTTTTAATTATTACCTCCTCCTCGGGGGATGATGCTAATTCCGGTTCATTTTCTTCCAGTTTATTGAGCAATTTATCCTGTAACGAACAAAATTAAGATTTTAATATTCTGTGTTCCACGAAAATAAGAAAATTAGGTTGACTAATGTTTTTAATGAATCGAGTTATATATAAAATTTAAATATATCGACGCTCGAAAGGCAAACGTGACTAAGCGACAATGCGTGAACTTTACAGTAGACTAATTTAAAGTTGAAATACCTGAAAACAAAATTTATTTTAACGAATCTAGCTGTAGTAGAATCTAACTAGTAGCTGTAGGATTGAAATGATTTGAATAGACCTAGAAATAAAATTTTTTTGCAAATCGAATATGATTATTGCCTATCATTTATGTACAAAGCAGTTATTGTCGCTTAGTCACGTTTGCCTTTCAAGCGTCGATATGTTCCTGAAGTTTTTCTTTGCATATTTCCTTGCACTATAACTTAGTGCTTTTATTTGTTGTGTGTGTGTGTACCGACGTAAATTGAAAAGTCGTTGCGGGCTTTTCCTCACTGTCGCGACAATAACCATTTTCCATTAGACAGGTTGTAGGTTTTCTATTTTCGCCTTCTGTAAAACATATCAATGTTATATTGCGGTATGCCATGCCTACACCGCCGCGCCGCAAAGTTATGAGATTTCTACTTTATCGTTGGTAACAGCGGAGAGTTTTCCTTTGTCAAGGCACGAATTTTACCATTTCGATGGTAAAAAATCGATATTCGAAAACATCCGATTCTGTTATTCTCGAATAATTTCACTCGGAAATTTTGGCGGGTATCTGAAGTCAATGTAATTTTTTTTCAAATGTATACTTAAAGTGAAGTCCTTAACTTAATAGCTTATCAAACGTGTAATTATATGTGAAAGTGTGCCAAAATTGAACAAAAGTTCACAGAGATCAAGTAGTTTTCCGCAGTTTTTAACAATTAACTCGAAACTTGCATTCGGATAGCCTCAATGAAAAAATAAAAATAAGGGATCAAATTTTAAAACGCAAATGAACCGAACCGAGAATGAAAAGTTTGACTTGATTCTGTAAATGATATTATGTAAATAAATTAAATGCTTCTTCTATTTGAGTTTCTGTAGATAAAGACACCAGTTGTTATGTAGAAAAAAAAGAAGATGTTAGGTCTTCACATTTCTTTGGATTGTCATACTATTTATGTTAGGTACTGTCACTTTTTTTTTGTATGAGTACATACACATCTACAAGATGTGATGAATAAATGCGAGATACGGTGATGCGATCACTGATCGAAATTCGACCATAACCATTACACTATCTTACCACATATTTTTAAACTACTTTTCACAGTTTTTTTTCTAACCACGAGGTCTATAAATATTCAAATCGTCGAAAATAATTTCGGTCGGACAAATTAACTGTATATTTGTTCAATGAATGGCTAATTTAACTTCGAAGGTAAAGGTAATGTAATGTTCGTGAAACGCTATTTTGTTTAGGCGGGATTTCGCTTAATACGCGACATTTATCTTTGCAATTAATGGTGCGTTTAATTTGGTATTAGTATCAACAGTTCGATATATTTAATTGAACTTCAATTAAGTTTGTTCCATTGAAATAACTGAAGAAGTTTGATTTTTGTGATGATATTTTATTTCAATTTTAAACTTTATATGGCTCTCCTGTAAAGTTGCAAAAATTTCGCTTAAACCATATAGCATTTCACCCCTCGATATGGTTGAAATTTGTTCTCCCGTTTTAATGTAATTGATCATTTATTAATCAAATGATAAATTGATATATTCTAAGTCATAATGAAAACCTGTCTAGGCAGGAAATAGTTTTGTATATTAATAATTCAAGAAGGTATCTTTATTTTATGAAACGACCTGTTATGTTAATATTTCCTGTGGAGCACGTGTATATTTGAATTTATTCTTTTTGTTTTTGTGAAGTCTGTTGCTCAATGCTCACTCAGTTGTAGCCATTTCGAGTGACGTGACCGTGTTTGGGGTAAATTTTTCGACCGGTTACCAATTTCAATGAACTAATATGTAGTTTTAGTAACACAGGTACCTACAAGTTTACTTCTCAAAACTCAGGGAATCGAGGTCTAGTTCCGGATTGGGTACTTGGTTTCAGTCTTTAAAGAATAGATCCGTTTGGTTCGATAATCCTCGTTCTATGATCAATTCGGTACTGGATTCGATTCTCGTTTTTGTGTTTCGCGTTTCACATAGGAAATAAATACCGGTTATGTAAATCACAATGCAAAAAAATTAAAGTGCCGCCTTTGCTAATTATCGACGACAGATCTGTTAGGCAGTAGAGAACTGAAAGTTGGGTTTTATTTATTATACTATGTGAATTGACAGACAGAATTTGAACTTCGTATTTTTTTTTTCAAATCATCTCGCGGTAAAACATGTAGAGTAATTAATATTTAGCAAGAAAACTGAGCTTGGAGGACTATTCATCGTTTATCTATACAAGTAAATAAAATTGGAGTGTCTGTTTGTAATCATAAAATATGCACTTTTTACTAAATGCGTAAGTAAGTACACATACCAAAATAACATATTTAAAAAATTTTGTCTGTCTGTTTGTTCCGACTAATCTCTGGAACGGCTGGACCGATTTTGACGGGACTTTCACTGATACCTACCTATCAGCCTAATATACTCCTTATAAGGAGTAGCTTAGGCTACTTTTTTCTACGACTAGTTTCGCTCTGCGGCTTCACCCGCGGCACGACAATAACTGCGAAGCTCAGCTAGTATGGAATATAAGTAACATAAAATAATGAGTAGTATTTGACTACGCACCGGGTGTAGCTGACGTCCATGAGTGACTATCAACTGGACTGTGTGTTCATTTGCCTACAGTGGCCATAAAAAAACCATAGATACGATCATATTTCACGTGGACCCCGATAAATCTAGTATTCATTGTTTAAATTTTGTCTGCGGAAATTAAGAACACATTTTTTTCTGGCGTTTAGTTTTAGCCCTCTAAGGATCTTTCTCGAAAAACTGTTTAAATAAAGTAATCGTTGGTAGTCCAGGATTCCGAGAAGAGTCCGTTTAATTTTATCTATCCCAAGACCCGCCACATGAGCGATATTCATCCTAACACAGGACCACTAAGTTGATTCACAGTGCATTTATAGAGGTAGTTTCGCCACGTTGGCATCATTACAGCTTCGAATGAGATCCCTTCCTTTAAACGGCTTTCAAAGGAGTTTTGCAGATTGTTTTTGTAAATATTGAAATGCAGCGGAGTTGTTGTGTCTTTACAACTGATGTCCATGCCCATGATCGTCGGTGACCATATACAATCATTTGCCATGGGCTAGCCTTTCTCTAATGGCAATATAAAATATAGTCTTCCACAGCATCTTCCTAAGGAGTTTTTATTTATCGATTGAGGCACTACGAAGTCTGCCGGATCCGCTAGTTATTATTATAAAGTTATAAAATAGCCTTCAATTGGAATAATCGTTTTTTTACGTTATTTTATTCATTAATGCTTTAGACCTAGTTTTGTGTTAGGTAACAGATAAGTGCTAAGAAAACATTTTGGAGGTTAATTTTACAGTCTAGAACTAAACAAATATTTAATAACATTGATCAACCAACTAGCTAACTGCTAATCTAGTAGAAAAATCGATTCGGTACATAGTGTCCGTAGTTTTCTATTGGTTTTTGTGTCAGACTTACGTAATTATGGCGGCCGTTGGTTTCGGTTTTATTTCAGTAAATCAGTTGCTAAACAAATCTATAGTCGACAACAGCTTAGTTTTAATAATAATAAAAAATATGTAAATATATTTATTATGTTTTCCTTTGTGAAAAGTTACGTGTTAGCATTTGTGATACTTCAAACTCAGTACATATTTCAGACTCGGAAACTAAAAATTAGTCATCGTTTTGCTTCGATCGCAGAATGTATTATGTCACTTTAAAAATCGTACACATTTGTAACTCATTCATAAGTTTGCAAGTTATCGTGCGCGGTGGAGCAACCGTATGAAGACTAGTCTATTGTTATTTAAAAATATTTAAAAATGCAAGGAGGCACATAATACCTATTGCAAAAATAAAAAAAAAATAACCTTACGTTCCGAATTCAAATTTCGTATGTGACCTGAATAGTCTGTGCTTGAATAGTCTGTGCCAGTGAAATGCGCGGTATTTTCAGATGAAAAATCCCCAATCTAACTTTGTTATTATTTTTTTGTTAAAATTGTCAGAACATGCCTGTAAGTCCGTCTGTTTGTAAACTGGCCTCATTTTTTATAGGTGAGTATTTATTATTTGATTATTTTATTTTTATAGTAAAATGGATGTCCTACCTTTCAAACGTCAGGAACAGGTAGGATTGTTGTACCTTCACGTATGCGTTAATAGAATCGAAAAAGAAAAAAATCTTCCTAAAAACCGGTCTATAATGAATTTAATTCCGATAATGCAATGTAGCAGTTTTATTCAATGATAATATGTATTGTTTTTGGTTATTGAATAAAAAAGTAAATTCACGAATCTTTGCATTTAGGTCTATCCGTAACATGTATATGTATATAGTTATATACAAATATACTTTATATATTATATATGTTATTATATCCTTTTTACCATGATTGTTAACTGATTGCCAACAAAAAGCACTCGTGAACACAAAACCTTGTGTATGTAAGTAAAAAATGGACAGTCAACAATTTTTTTTTCTTTTTTTTTTTTTCGTGAACATCAAATTACGGCTCTTACATCATATTTTTTGTCCCAATTTATTAAGATACTTGATAATAATGCGTACACGAGCGAACGTCACGATAGTGGAATAGAATCGTGCTAAAAATGACCTATTGTAAGAGTAACAACACAAATTAATGTCATTATTGAGTTAACACAAAACCATCGCTATAAATGAAGTCAATACAGATTTGAAAATTGATGGAATTTTTTCGTAATTTTGTTTCGATTTTATTTTTTTTGATGGCCGTCCAATGATCGAAATTCAGAAATATTCACGAACATTTTCTCTTTTGCTTAGTTATTGACCTTAGACAAAGCTGTAAATATAAGTTTTCATGAAATTAAAAGTTCGTAAAATTTCAAGATGCGTCACAGTTTGTCACGACTAGTAATTGGGCGTGTGTTTATCTGTTTATATATTATTATTTTTTTATTGCTTAGATGTGTGGACGAGCTCACGGCTCACCTGATGTTTAGTGGTTACCCGAGTCCCTAGACATTTCCAACGTAAATGCTGCCACCCACCTTGAGGCATTAGTTCTAAGGTCTCACCTTTTTTTTTATCACAAATATTATCTATATTTCAATAATGATCAATCTTATAAAGGAGACTATGTGTTATGCTGAAAATGAATCATACTTCATGAAGTGTTCCTTTCATGAAACAGGTCCATTACAGATACCGATTTTTTTGAACTATAATATTCCCCGTAGTTGATTGCCAATATGTTTAAAGTTTGTAACACACGACGTAAATGGGCCTATTGTATATTTTCTATTATCGCTGTGCTAGTTTTATTAACACTTATCATGTTATTTTATTGCGATTTAACAGCTTTTACGTTTAACTCAAATTCTTTGTCAATCATATCTGCTGCTTGATACTTTAAATTACTTACCAAATTCATTTGAGTGCTCGTTAGTTGAACCGGCTCTTTTAAGGTAATAAACTTTTAAATTTAGGTTAATCCACTGGCTCTATTCATTTCGCTTCATATAGAAGAAGGTCGTTTAGATTGTTCCCAATCCCGTCATGACAGCTCCTTTGGAATCTCTGGGTCTACGGATGTCAGTACATCTCTTTGTGTTTCCTATGCTGATAGCCTTCAGAGTCAATTTCAGCTTCACCCTAACGTGTAGGTGAGCTCACGGGGCTCAAACCAGGAGTGTTGCTAACACTGGCCCTAGCAAGAGTAGTGCTTTGCAGAATCTACCACCGGATCGGAAACGCGGCCCACTGAGAAGACCCGGCTATTTAGTGGGCTGTGTCTATGAGTTAATTTACTCGTCGAGCCCTTCGTCGCAAGCGACGGGTTCGGCGGAGACGTGACCGGTACTTGAGGTACCTAAAAGCACCGTTAATGGATCGTGATTTGTGTCATAGCTTTCATGAATGAGAGGAATTCTTTTAAGGGATTATTAGAGGCGATGCGGCATCTCTATTTTACGATCACACTAATCGCTACCGGAACAGAGTTTGCCAGTATTCAATGAAAAAACCGGGCGATTGTGTACGATAAGTTTCCAGAGATCCGTTTCCAAGCAAGGTTCGATAAAGGGATTTAACTAGTCGGCCGTGGCTCAGCTATGCTCCTGATATTGCTGATATCCGTAGCACTACAAGATGTGTGGTACGCTTGCTTCGATAACAATAAAAATATTAACACAAATTCGCACAATACACGATGAGCGCAAAAGTAATTTATGAATTAATAATATATATAACCAAAAATGTTAAATTCACGATTTAACGTTTAAAATCATGTATTTTTACCCTTGTAGGCAAACGAGCATACGGCCCACCTGATGGTGAGTGGTTACCGTCGCCCATGGACTTCAGCAATGCCAGGGGCAGAGCCAAGCCGCTGCCTACCAATGTTAGGAAAAAGTTTATGTTCTTCATGATGATATGGTGTCGGGATCTTAGATACTTATATATATTGTTCATGTGATCGAAGAAACCACCGCTCATGGATCATTACCTTACTAAAGTAATTTGCAATTCTTTAAATTCATTTATACCTAATATTTGAAGCTAAGATTCCTTTTCTAAGCAAACAACGAACGAAAAGGCAGGCTCTGTAGGCAGCGGCTTGGCTCTGCCCCTGGCATTGCTGAAGTCCATGGGCGACGGTAACCACTCACCATCAGGTGGGCTGTATGCTTGTCTGCCTTCTTCTTCTTCGTCGCTTTCTTCATTGCTGAAGGTCGTGTCCCTGAAACTCGACCGTTGCCTGTCTCGTGAGCTGTTTCCATCTCGTCCGGTCCTCAGCTGCTCGAATGGCGGTTGCGACTGGCAACCCAGTTAGAGCGGTTACTTGATCACACCAACGGCTAGGTAATCGGCCGCGGGGTCTCTTTCCTTCTACTTTGCCCGTCACAATCACTTTGTCCAAGTTATCTGACTGTCGGCGGGCAATATGACCGAAGTAGCTGAGGATCCTCTGGTAACAGATTGTTGAGAGCCTGACTCGGATGCGAAGCTGATCCAGGATAGATTTATTTGTCCTCTTGGCCGTCCACGGAATTCGGAGCATTCGTCTCCAGCACCACATTTCAAATGCGTTTATTTTCTTGCGCTCGGATGCCTTAATTGTCCAGGACTCTGCCCCGTAGAGAAAGATTGAGAAAACTAAGGTTCGGACGAGTCTCATTTTCGTGACGTTGGAGACTTTGCGATTTTGCCATATTCGTTTGAGCTTGGTCATCGCTGTTTTGGCCATCTGCGTCCTCCTCCTTATCTCTCCCTCACTGCCTCCGCGGTCGGTCAGTAAGGACCCGAGGTATATGAACTCGCTGACAAATTCAAGATCTGATAGCTCTCCAGTTCTAGAGAGTTGACTGGTTCTGTCCACTATCATGACCTTTGTTTTGGACTTATTAACGGAGAGCCCCACTAAACTACTCTCATACTCCACTCTACGGAATAGGTCAGCAAGTTCCTTTTCAGATGACGCGAAAAGCGTGGTATCGTCCGCATATCTCAGATTGCTAATTTTTATGCCACCGACTGAGATGCCCCCCTCCCACTCCTCTAAGGCTTTCCTCATTACATATTCTCCATACACATTGAAAAGAATAGGAGAAAGTATGCACCCCTGTCGCACACCTTTTTCTGGCTTAAAAGGTCCCGAGATGACGTCATTCACTCTAACCATAGACACACCATCCCGTCTGTCTACAACGGCAATAAAAAAAAAATCTTAATAAAATTTCAATACAACAAGATTAAACAAACAAGATTAAAGTTATCGATTGCGAAAAAAATTATATAACGATTTAGGGGGCCTTTTAAACAATGCTTATTTGTATATACGCTTACTTTAAAATCTACGTTATGAATCTTAAAATTAAGTTCATAGTAATTTAAAACGTCCTTTGAATATATCTAATTTTTACTTTTCCGGTCGAACTATTTTTTTTTAACTGAAATGTATTCAAAACCAGTTCTAACAGTGGACCTGTTTAAAGTTTACATTTAAATAAGAATTTATCTGTTCTTATAATGAGCTATTTCATTCCATTGAATTTGTTTACGTCACGGCGAAATTTTTTTATACCGTATTCTTGATAAAATCGCACATTACGTTAAAGATCTTCTTCCTTTGACATTCTGTTTGTGGGCCAAACGATAATTCACCCGGTGTACTCGTATCGAGCAATCCGACTATGTCAGCGTTCAACTCCCTTAATAGGTCATTTGTTTTTTCATTCTAATGCGTTATTACTTGCACTAGTGGTCCCGCAGTAGTCGAAATTCGACTATAATTAATTGAAATTATAAGTTTGAACATTATTATGGTTATATTGTCAAAGACTATTATACTTCTATAATCACAGATTTCGCCAAGACTACACTATAGACAAATAATATTAAAGATAAACAATATTAACCTATTTTGAATTTGACCACAGGCTTTAAGCATTAACTAAAGTTTGACAATAAACAAAGAGTATATACATATGTGTGTGTGTCAAATACATGGCAGTGTGTGTAATGTTTTCTTTATTGATTTAATGTACCTTTTATGCATTATTTAAAAAAAAATAGCAATAGTGTACAACTCTTTCTTTATATTCTCTATAATTGTGGGAAATTTCATATTCCTCCGCCCGCGCAATTTTCGTAAAAAGGCGTACAAAGTTTTTGCTTCACGTATTAATTAATATATAGATGTTCACAAATTACTTCTACGGTGAAAGAATAACAAGAAAAGTAATATTTTGCGTTAATACTGGTGAACCCGTATGAGTAGGAAGGAGAGCGTCACCGCTGTGAATATTTCTAACGATAACCAGTAATGCGCCCTCGCCTGTCAGCGTACCGAGGCGTACCGTCTAGGCCGCAGTGGTCGGTAATCTCGATAATCAAAAGAGCCAAACATAGACAATACACAATTGAAATTTATTCAAAGAAATTATTAATAAATATATTTTTATAGCCTTGGGTTTCAAAATTGTTTACTCATTTCTTACAAGGAAAGATATTAAGTAATATTCCGTGGTTAAACATTTCACGGGAGAGTCGTAGCTGACGAGACAAAGAGCCGCATGCGGTACGCAAGCCACGGGAGTGGGTAAATTGTGAACAAAGACGATTCACCTTCTGATTCCTGTAGGGTCTGACAAAGCATGATTGCTTCGGAAAGCACTTGCACTGGACCGGAGCTCAGCTGATCGCAGATTGCCATTACCGTCAACCATGGACGGGCATTGTCCATTGGACAAATCGGTACCGACTTGTTATCGAACCGACGACGTTCGCCATTGAAGAATCATGGCTGGCGATACTGTTTGGCCGAGATAGGCAGGGTCCTGATTACCAAATCGTGCGCGTTGAGAAAACTTTTTTACGCCTAGTTCTAGTACTAATCAGGCATTGCAAACTATCGAAAAAAATCACACAGCTTTTTGTTGACTATACGTTAGATGTCTTATGGTTAAATCTAATTGTAGTTTAAGAGATGAGCTCACGACACACGGATAAATATCTTAATTATTATAGACGACTTAAAGATTGTCATTTTATTAAATGCACTTACAAAATGCAAACAAAAGGTAGTGTTAATTCCACATGATAACATTATGTTTATCAATTTACAACAGTGCAGTGAAGGGTGAAGGTTATATTTGACGTAATTATTGTAATAATAAGTAAGTCTGGTGGAGAAGGTCAATGATTTTGTAAAATTATAATGAGTATTATGACGTTATCCTTTTAAGCATAAAATTATAAAGTGCAGATATATACTTAAGGTGATGGTAATCTATTACTTTGTATAAAATTTATGGTCACTAATAAAATTTTGTATTTATAAATTCGTAAAATCATTAAATTATACTTGCTCGGTTTCATCTTCGTTTAATTATAAATTAAAAGCAATTAAATGTAAATTTTTTCTTCATAACACAAGTCTTAAGCAGCTTAAGTTTTTGTCTGCTATTCATGTCAATATTCATTTTACAAATAATACTTCTCAAGTAGTATTCAGGTAGAATCTAACAAACACTAATAACATGATTGATGTACGGTAATATCGATTTAAATTGCAGAATAAGAATGGCTATTACAATTATACATGACGCAGTTATAATGCATATTCATTGCTAACTCAAGTTTGCATCAACGTGATGTGATTGCTTACATTACCATCTTTATATTGAAATTACGCGAATAAAGTAAGATATTCGTTATACATATGTAATTATCTGTGTTAACGCCTACGAAATTTTACTGAGCAATGTTAAATTTTTATTTATGTTCACCGACACAATTTTTACACACTTCAATTAATGGCCGTGCCAAGCTAACTTGTACGCAACGTAAAAAATTAACAAAAACCTGTATAAAGAAAATACAAGCACAAATCGATTGTGGAAGTTTTATTGAGAAACCCAAGCATCCAACAATCTGTAATATTACAATAATATATTGAAGATTACTTAGCATATAATATGATGTATTTCCGTTGAAGGTTAAATTTTATCTCGTACATTTTAAAGTATTTCTAACGCATGTTAATTGCTTATTATTGCAGGAATAGCAGAAATATGGTACATGTCAGCCCCGGTGGGGGAGTGTGATCATTGCTGTCCACGTGATGATTCCACTGACATTCAGTACCAATTGTTCACCAGGTTAGCAGTACTTAATTTAATTTTTAGTACTAAGTCGTTTAAGAACATGTTTCTTAAGTATTTTTTCTTCATTTTCGACAAATCATTAAGGCTGGCTGCACACATCAGACTTCCTGATAAGATTTTCGCTTTCCTGATGAAACTTAAATATGGATGTAAGCATGAAATATGAAAGCATGTAATATACAAAAAGGCCAAATGCTTAATTACCCTAGCGTCCTCCAGTAAGAGCACGGTCAAAATGGAAAAAGTACAACCGAATCCTGATCACGCAGGAGCCTGGAACTGGAAAGAAGAAACTGGAAAGGCCTCAGGGCCACCAGTAAACTATCAATCATAAAAAAAAAGTGCAAATAAAGTAACAGTTTCATTGTACGCGTCGAGGCTAGCGCTACTAAATACCGTTGTCCCGTGTGCGACACAAACCCTGCACCATAGGTAAAGTCGCCTCTACAAAAGGCGATCATATTCATAAAAAAATAACTACCGAAACTTCAATAGAATTTGCTTCGATTCAAATTGTCAACTTCCGTACATATACGCTAAGCCTAACCCACCTTTTTCAGATTGAATCCGACACGATACCAGGTAATACCAGTTGGCCTCCAGAATGGTTTAGGTGTGACTTCGTTTAACATCTCAAACCCCACCGTGCTGTACCTGATGGGGTTTTCGGAATCTACGAGAGGAGTCAGTACTACTACTCTTAGAAATGGTAGGTGTAGTTTCTACAGATGCGCTTGCTTGTTTAGTATCATAGATTTACAAAATCATTATCCGTCCAGTTCAATTTTACGTCGCCTAGGCTGTCTACGTTTAGCAAACTCTTTGAAATTAGTTACCATTACGCTCTAGATTTCGTTTATATAGATAAAAGTAAATGGATAAATGGATAAGAGTAAATGGTTAATAACAATGGTATTGCTATGGTAAAAAATTAATCTTTAGTGTTTTTACTCATTTTGATTTTCGCGAAGATTGTTAACTTATGTACTCAAAACGAAGAGAATTGAACGAAAAGATTTGTAAGCCTATGGCTTTATGGAAGAAATCCCTTACACCTATTCTAGAAAAAGAACTCAAGGCTCATCTGGTGTTAAGCTGTTATATAAACCCAAACAGACAAAACAATGCTAATATCGCCTTCAATTTTGTAACCAGTGAAATTTCAATTGTATTATTAGAACAAAGGCTATCCTCCTATTCGTCATACCAGAACAAAATATGTTTTACCGCAAACTTTTAAGATTTATGTAGAATAAAATCAAACAGCTCAGATTAACGTAAACGCAAGAGATAGAGAAGATACAAATCATACTTGCGTAATGCATCAATATGGTCGTGGTTAATATAAAGAGCGAAAGAATACAAACAGCGCAAAATGGCAGTACTTTTATAACGAATAATATTTTAACTAAACAGTTAGTCTAATTCTGGTGATCCGAGGAATAGTTTAATCATGAAGTACTTATAATAAATTCAAAGTCTAGGAGATGTAGGAAAAAACTTTTGCGCGTCTTGTACTGTTTACCTTGACCATCTATACTCTATACAAATAAATAACAATGGAGTGTCTGTTTCTAATAATAAAATAAACACTTTTTACTAAATGCGTAAGTATGTTTACACACTACATATACCAAAATTACATATTTTTTAAATTTTAACTGTCTGTCTGTCTGTTTGTTTGTTCCGGCTAATCTAACGGCTAGACCGATTTTGACGGGACTTTCACTGATAGGCAGTTGATGATATAAGGAGTAATATTTTAATAATTTTATTTACTCTTATATTATTATTTTATATACTTTTTTAGACTAGCTTCCCCCCGTGGCGTCACCCGCGGTACGACAATAACCGCGGGTAGCATCGCCGGACTCAGCTAGTTCTTGATAAACATGAAAACTATGAATTTAGGCATTTACTATATAGTTATACTTTATAGTTTGGATTTGATGTTCATTTATCATTGAAATTTTTGTTTTCAGCGTATCTAAATTCCGGCGAATACAACTTCATAGCTGTAGATTGGTCTCGTCTCATTGTTTTCCCTTGGTGAGTTTACAAAAGATTTCATTATTCTATATTATACTTAATACATTCAGATACTTGTTTTAGTGTGAAACCGACTGCGGAGATTGTTTCTACATGAATAAGGATGGTCTGTAACATGACATTAGGTACCTAGTCTGGAAGTTCTATATTTTAAATATGGCATAAAATCTATACTAATATTATAAAGAGGAAAGATTTGTTTGTTTGTTTGTTTCGAATAGGCTCCGAAACTACTGGACCGATTTGAAAAAATATTTTTCCATTAGAAGCCGACATTGTCTCTGATGAACATAGGCTACTTTTAAAAAAAAAAAAAAAATATTTTTTTGGTTTCCTGTGTGTTTTAATGTTTACGAAGCGAAGCGAGGGCGGGTCGCTAGTAAAATATAAAATTTTGAAAATTTAGTACAAGAATACTTTTGTTTCTAGTTTATATAATCCTCCCGGGCCTAAGCGTAATCTGTTACGCAGACGACACGTTGGTCGTGGCCCGGGGGGAGAGTTTTGCTGAGTCTGCCCGTCTTGCTACCGCTGGGGTGGCGCATGTCGTCGGCAAAATCAGGAGATTGGGCCTCGACGTGGCGCTCAGTAAATCCGAGGCCATGTGGTTCCACAGGCCCCGGAGAGTGCCACCTGTCGATGCCCATATCGTGGTTGGAGGCGTCCGTATCGGGGTCGGGGTGCAGTTGAAGTACCTCGGCCTCATTCTGGACAGTCGTTGGACCTTCCGTGCTCACTTTCAAAATCTGGTCCCTCGTCTGTTGGGGGTGGCCGGCGCGTTAAGCCGGCTTCTTCCCAACGTTGGGGGGCCTGACCAGGTGACGCGCCGTCTCTATACAGGGGTGGTGCGATCAATGGCCCTATACGGGGCGCCCGTGTGGGGCCAGTCCCTGGCCGTGGGGGTAGCGAAGCTGCTGCAACGGCCGCAACGCACCATCGCGGTCAGGGTCATCCGTGGCTATCGCACCATCTCCTTCGAGGCGGCGTGTGTACTGGCTGGGACGCCGCCTT